CATGGTCGCTAGTGGCTAGGCTACTTGTAGGTGATGTACCTACCTGTGATTTTGAAAACAGGCCCCTGCCTTTCTGAGACACTGATATTTAGAAAACAGGCCCCTGCCTTTCTGAGACGCTGATATTTTGAAAATAAGCTTCCATCTACCTGACTAGACTGTTTCTAAAAAGCTTGCTTTAAATTGACACGGGATCATAGATGTTCAAGCAGTAAACAAGATAGATTATATAATAGTGAACTTTTAAGATAACTTGTAATAATCTCTCCCCTATACTAAACCCCTCCTTAAATTACCCCTCCCAATATGATAAATTTACCCTACCCTAAACAACCAACCTAAATGTCCCCTATTTAATATAAAAAAATGACTCTACCCTCTGCATGACTGTTTTAGCATATTAAAGGGGCAACAAGGCCTGTAGAGAGAAAATAGGAAAATTTTAACTTTTTATGAGCTATCAAGGCAACATTTGGCTTAACATCTTCTTTGACAGACCTATTTTCTTAAAATGTATGTATAAACTATCAATTTCAGCATTAAGAAGTGTAAATTCAGTTCAAAGCTTCAAAAAGGGGAAATCCGCTTTTATATTTTTAAGATCCACCATGTTTTAAGAGGAATATATGCTGAAATAATGTTTATCTAGTGGTTTTTTTTGTGGATAATAAAAATAGATGTTAGTCTTGATGAAATATCCAAACTTAAATATTTTTTGACACTGGTCCATGATCGTTGAATGGCCCCTCTGCACTAATTGTTGCACCTTTAATGTCTTACTATGTTACTACCAGGATATCAAAACATGTGGTCAACTTTTTTATTCATCACTCAATCTTCATTCACACCTACTTAAAAACTTTGCAACATCAAGTCCAATTACCATGAGGAGTTTCACATGTTAGCTTTAAGTAAACTTGATATAGTCAAGGGACATAAAAAATACTGTTTTTATGTACAAGAGATCTTTAATGAAAGCAGTATCAGGCCAAGCCTAAGTAGAAAATATACATATTAGAACAGGTCTGTAGCCAGCTTTTAAGAAACTCTAGGGGATTCAAATTTGACAGTTTTCGCCCAAAATCACTTAAAAAGTACTCATGATTGAGAATTGTATGGATTTGAAAGAATTTCGACCAAGGGGCTTGAACCGTCTAGCTAAAAGCCATGTTGAAATAAAAACAAATCATACATCCCTCAAATTGGAACATCGTAGAATAGTGAATTATTGATGACCATTATTCAGACCATAGAATTAGAATATGATTTGATCCAATAAGTTATAAGTGGTTCAATATATGCACATTCGCCTTATTTCTTAACAAGTTTTGATAGCTGATAGATTTAGGCTTGAAGTTGCACCATTTGACAGAATTAAATTTGAAAATAAATTGGATATTAACAAGATTAGTCGCAAGAGTGCTATATGTATATGCAACTTAGGACATTATATGCAAACAACCTTTTTAACTGAGCACTTAAAGTATATTAACCGTTTGAAATGAAGTTTAAATTCCTGATAAGATATAACCGTTTTTAAACTGTTTTAACTAATAACTTCTCCCACACTTTGATATCAAAGTTACATATTAATTATATTTTATTGCAACAATACAAAGTATTCATACATGTTAGTATGTGTATAATTCTGATTTGCTGCCAAAAATATATAATTATGAATTATTTGAAATTGCATACCTGAGTATGTGGTAGGTAAGTACCTGTAATAATTACAGGTAAGACATAAGTAAGCCAACTATATAAATATCGAGTGGACAATCTCTGGCCCTACTTGAAAGTGGTACTGCTAAATATGCTACTGAGGCAGCCCAATGTAAAATCACCAGATGGGTGTATCACACCTTAAGATAATACATGATAGCCTAATTAGTGCCTTGTTATGACCCCATTAACAATGTTATTATACAAATTGCCATAAAATTAGTTAAGATCTAATATACATGACATCTTGATTCATTGATGTACACATGTCTGAAAGAATATACTGGATTAAGTTTGGTGACATATGGATTAGGCAATATGCCAATATCATTATAATCTCCTAAAATACAAAATAAACATCGTGTATTTTGCAATCAGGCGGGCTGACTGAACGTAAACATACTAACAGTATTATAATTTGATTGCAATAAATGGAAAAACTCATTCAAAATGTGAAGCATCAAATTTTTATATTGGATTCCACAAGCTAAACAATATGCTACCTTACACAACCATTTGCCTACATGTGTTCACCTGCATCAACCTGTGGTATTTTACCTGTAATTGACACCTGTAAGTTTTACCTGTAATTTGCAACACGTCACAGGGTCACCCTAGACTGTATCCTTCGTCTGAATAAATATTCAGACTGTAAGTCACCTATTGTAAAATGTGGTGTTGTATAAATGTTACAAATAAGTTTGTTAAATGATAAAATGATTACCTTATAAAGTACTGACAATATTATTTTTTCGTATATTGTCCTCTTACTGAAGATATTCATAAAATGTACAGACGCTTCTTGTAGCGAAGCCATTGATTAGGTCAAGCCATTTTGGCAATGCCAATTCTCACGATAAACGAGATTTAGCCAGTGACGTCAGTCTATTTGTAAACAAATAACACGTGGAGCGGACGGAAGCGTGTTGATAAATTCCATTTGTGCGGGAATTTATTAGATCTAGTCATTTATTATCATTATCCCGATTAATTTTCTTCATTTATAGTAAATAGAGCGGAAATATTCATGAAGAAGGCCGAGGTAATCAAGTGGTCATGTGTTGTCAAAGTTCAAAATTTGCATATCTCGTTTGGATCTCGTGAACTCAAACGTCCTTGACATTGATTTCGCGATGTACTTATAAACACATCCTGAAGTTTTGGTGAGTCTGAACATTTCATTATTTTATATCAACTTGTACCCGCCTTATACAAATATTTTTGCTTCTAGTTTAAGATGAACATCTCTTCAACATATTCACCAATTTTCAAGGTGAACATTCTTGTAATAAACGAGAAATTTATGTGCAAAAAATTTCACCGAGATTTCCACCGGAAATATATCAATCATAACAGACCGAATATTATATTCGGTCTGTTGGATACATACTAAGGGTCACCCGTATTCAATTGTTAAATCTATAACTTTAACAAACATTTATGACATCAAAACAGTGCTAAAACTAGATAACAGACAAAATCGGACAAGTTAGGGAGATTTTGAAAATCTATCCCGTCAACGTGCACTGTGTAAATAAATGAATGCAAATCCAGTTGGCACTTGGCAGGTGGTTGTAAAATTGATAACTTTCATATGACAATAACTTTGTCTATTTTTCATTGATTTCCCTGTAACATATACCAAAATAATCCTGGAATGAAATCCTACAAAATGCAATACAAAAGAATAACTTACATGCCACAAAAAGGGAGAAAACTGCTACAAATCCTGAATGCATGTTGATCAGCATTTAATCGTCGCCGGTTTAGAGGTCAAGGGTCCAATTCAAGGAGGATTGGCTCCCAGAGTGCACCACCGATATTCTGTCCCATATATGGGTATGTCGTAATACAAAATTCGAATTCAAACAGCCGCCATTTTGTTCACTTCAACATTTAAATCGTGAATTTTGGTCTTATTTCCAAACGAAAAATTCCAAAACTCACAAGAAATGATCGAGATATTGGTTCGAATCTTTTGAACTGTTTATTTTGAATTTATAGTCGGTTTTAATTTCAGAAAATAACGACATTTCGACGTTTTCATTGTTGGAAAATATCGAGTTTCGATCCTGGGAGCCAATCCTCCTTGGGTCCAATTGAAAACGAGGCATCAATTAACGCCCCGCCATCTATAATTGATTAACAAAACTAAGATAGTAGCCTGGTCAGAAAATCCTGAAATATACCGTAATTTAAATTAATGATTTCCAACATCGCTTAGAATAAGAATACAAAATATGAACTTTATGTTTTAAGATTTCTTAGGAATAACACCTGTCAATTTTATTTCTCTAAAATTCTAAATGGCGCCATAGCTTAGAACTTCGATGAACAGAATTAATACTTAATCTATCATTTGACAAGTAATCATCAGATCATGCATGACAAATGTCGAAGAGAAAACCAGCGTGCTGGTTCAGTGATGTCCTTTCAAGTTACCCGTATCATCAAAGTTGAATAAAATAATAATAATGATTCCACATCCAGCTAGAGAGAGAGTGTATTTTTTAATAACTAAGTGTTTTTAACAGCGCCAGATCTAGAAATCAAATTTTCACAAAAATCGGCCTTGTTTGAAAATTTTTGTGTCATTCACAATGTTCAGAGTTTGTTCGAGGAAATGTAGACTTTCAAAATGCTTGTCCGCAAAATGATAAATAAAATCTAGGGGTTTTCTTTCAAATAAAGACCCACTTCATTCTAGGGATCTTTTTTTCTAAATTCGGAGATTGTTGAAGCAAAATATCGTCAACCTGGGCTGTCATAAAAATTGTCAACCACACCAAGGGACTTAAGGAAAAAATCATCGCCCCACATTTAGGTTTTTTATTCAAAAAGGAGCCGGGCTGAAAAAGCGACCCACTAAAGTACGTCCCCGTATAGCCAATATAATGAAGAACCCCCCCCCCCCCGACACACCTTTCAACCTCCAATATGTTCACTGTTTGATACTATGGACCCATTTTCAGATAAAAATCATTTTACCTGGTCGCATGATTTAATTCTTTTCTAAAATATACATATACTGTTACACAGAATCCCATGGCCGAATTAATTGAAAAAGAGTTTAATTACCCCCCCCACACACACACACAAGTTTGTAATAGGCCCACTGGAAAAACGGAATGATGATCTTTATCTCATGTTTCAGCATATAAAATCAAAAAATCTTATAATCGTGCCCGTTAATAGCATGGTGTCAGAAGAATTTGAAATGTGATTGTTCAAATTTCGCGCCATAGAACTCATCGTAGAATTAGAAGAATAAAAGTTTGGTTCGAGACTATCTTGACAGTAGGTCAAATTTTCAAACTTTTTGAAAAAAGTCATATTTGACTAGTTTACTGGCTTATGACTTGACTAATTGACTTTAACTTTGTGATATAACTATGCCGAAACGACGTTCTAGTAGTAGAAGTTCAATAGAACCATCTCCTAAGCGCACGCAAGGTGAAACAAGTGATAAATCAACAAGAAAAAGTGGGCGTTTCCCCTCAGTGGGCGATAATAGGGAACCAAGTACATTCGTTAGTTGGGGACCCTTTCTTGCTGATAGACAGTGGGGCACTGTGAGAGAGGATTACTCCAAGGATGGAGATTAGTATGTTTGATTCATTTTGATAGACTTCTTTGTACTTCAACTTCTCTGATTTATTACTCCAGTATTTTTTATTCGGGACCAAGGACTGAAGCCCTATAAAGAGTCTACGCTGTATGTCCTCAGACAATCATTCATGTACCTTAGCCTTTATTTGTGTTTTTGTATTGAACTACGTAATCTGGTCATGATTTTGATAAATTATTGCCAACAGAATTGACTGTATGTCCACCTGGATTGAGATGCCCTTCAAATGACATTGACAGAATTCCTGTATGTGTAATCCTCACAGTATATTCCAGTACCTTCATTTTATGATTTATCGTTGCTTGCACAGCATATTTGATGATTGCCTTCATGGGCATGGGGCTCTTCTTGAAAGCCCATGATATGGGCTTCAGACTTCAGACTTAGAGGAATTAAAAATGTGGCTATAGTAAAAATCTTCTATTTATTTCTTGCTTTCCTGTTTGTATTTTCAGCTGGGCCAGTTTTACATATGATGACGCCAGAGGCCGTGCTTATCGCTGGGGTGAAGATGGAATCATGGGAATATGTGATGATAAGTCTCGTCTCTGCTTGTCCCTTGGGCTCTGGAATGGGAAGGACCCTCATATCAAAGAGAGGTTCTTTGGTCTTGGAGGCAAACAAGTAAGCAAGTCTCGTCTTTGCTTTTTTCTTAGTTTCTGGAATGGGAAGGACCCTCATATCAAAGAAAGGCTCGTTTGTCTTGCAAGCAAATAGATGAGCAAATCAACACATTTTTTCTAGATGTGAACATGTCCCTATATAATATACAGGCCCGTAGCCAGGATTTGCCAAGGGGGGGGTTCAGTTTTCAAAAATTTCCAGGGGGGTTCACATTTGACAATTTTGGCCCAAATATGGCTAAAGTCACTAGAAAAGTGCTCAAAATGGTGAAAAACTGCATGATTTTGAAAGAATTTTTGGCCAGGGGGGGTTTGCCCGAACCCTGCGAACACCCCCTGGCTACGGGCCTGATATATCTGTTCAAAGGAAAAGGCAATCTTTCACCCTGGATGTTGCCAATTCTATAAACTGACACGAATGCAGGTATAACCTGTTTTCCTAAATCATCATTGCTCTTATTGCAGGGAAACCATGGTGAAGATGTAAAGGAATGCTACTATTACCTTGACAGCAATCCACAACATAGTTACATGAAGGCCCTCTATAAGTACCCCCAAGAACTATTCCCATATGAGAATTTAGTTGAGGAAAATGCAAGTAGAGGATTAAACGATCCTGAATATGAACTGATAGATACAGGTAAGTGACATTAAAATCAGGTAAGTCTCATTAAACCCTTCAGTTAATAACGCAAATACGAGTAAGTTGTTACCAGTTTCACCACCAGGTGGCTCGTTCGGGTCAGATAGCATGGCAGGTATGGTAGAAAGTTCCCTTTAACTGAAATTACATCTGTTTTAGTGGTTCACTTTTCATATTACCCGTATGTATCTTATAGTTATGCAAATTAAAATATGTCCAGTAAAAGAAAATGTTAACTGTCCAATACAAGAAAAGATATTTCACTTTTTGTGATTTTGTAACATTGGGTCTATGGGGAATCAACCCGAACTAGAAGTCATATTTTCAAAAAAAAACTTAATTTTCAAAATTGATAAACAATTTTCGAAACCATATTTCTAGATGTACTTTTACTTGTAGATTTCAAATATGACATCAATTTGACTGAATTTTGAATATTAATAATGATGTAAATCAAGATTATTTCTACTCGCAGCTAGTCTATTAGCAAGTATGAGTCTATAATAATAACACATTTCATTACCAGTAATCATCACCAAACATTAGAATGAATACTTACTAGTATCTACATTAAAACAATTTTTGATGTCAAGAAAAATGAAAATGTTTCCAACATGTATTGAAATGATTTCAGGATTGATATATCTTTTTTATTGTGATTATGATTCCTGAATTGCGGTGGGGAGTGTTAGACATAATTTCTATGTGGGTTAGATCATAGTTTGGGTTTGTTTTGCTCATGTCTGGTTGTGCTCTCTATGTTATATGGGTTTTATTACAAACTATAACAAATCATACTTGCAATTTTTTTACCCCTTCCCAAAAACAATTACTTTGCTGATGCATACCAATATACTTAACTTGTTTCAAAACATGTCTGTTTTTAGGTGTATTTGAGAATGATAAGTACTGGGATGTTTTACCCTTTCTACCAAATAATAACATCTGCTGATGCACACCAATACTTGCAATCCCTTTACCCCTTCCCCCAAAACAATAACTTTGCTGAATGCTGATGCATGCCAATATACTGAACTTGTTTCTAAACATATCTGATTTTAGGTGTATTTGAGAATGACAAGTACTGGGATGTTTTCATGGAGTATGCTAAGACTACTGATGGATCCATACAGTGCAGAGTTACTGTACACAACAGAGGGAATAAAGAGGCAGAGGTACATGTTATACCTCAGATATGGTTCAGGTAGGAACTAGGAACATACTGTTGTTGTTACCAGAAACACAACCTGTAGATCATATTGTCATAGAAACACAGAATATGTAAATCATGTTGTCATAGAAACTTAGAATGTAGACCATAATCATAGAAAAGCAGAATGTTATCATAGAAATACTAAACATAGATCATTCTGTCAAAGAAACACTCATTGTAATTATTACTGCTCGACCACTGCTAGGCACTTGCTTGTAGTTTTTTACATTGCGTACATTATATTGCTATATAATTCCTGAATGTATGCACTGTAATGTTGCTATAGAAACACATGGTCATGGGGTGAAGGTCACCCAGGTAGAACAACAGAGGTGCCATCTATTCAGCTCAAGGATGGTGACTTTCTCTGTGACCATGAAGATATGGGTAAGGTACACTCCTTCTGTAATCTTTTAGACATTTTTTAGCATTATATACATATACAAAACCTAGTCCATTTGAACTCATTTTAGCTTGATTCCCCCCCCCCAAAAAAAAAACATTGCATACTAATCATTGAATTTTGTAAATGTAGTAACGTAGTAGTAATGTAACTCCTCCTTTGCCTGATATTTTCAATAGTACGCATATTTCCCATAACAAGAAAATATTGGAAGTCCTTTGCATAATCAACATAAAATAATTTTTAGGTAGTTTCACATTGATGTCAGAAAAGTCTTATTCTGGAAATGAAGGAGATTTTATGTTGACCAATAATATAACAAACAGTGGAGAGAATGAAGGACCTTTTAAAGATGGCTTTCATAAATACATAGTTGATGGTATGTTTGCTGACCTGTGATTTTAGCTTAAACTGTAATTGTATATAAATAGTTAAAATATACTTATATTGGATGTTAAAGGATCTCAGTCTATCTCTGATCCTGTAGTACACCTAAATTAGAAAAAAATGCTATCAACAGATGGGGATTTTCTTATTTGCTATACTAGTAGTTTGAAAAAGATATGTGGTGAGCAAGTAAATAAATCACCTTAATTTTAAAGATTATAAGAGGACGAGAGGTGCAATTAAAGTCTTTATGTTGTTGTAAGTATTTGGATGTACGTATACTGTAAATACCTTACTTTGATGTTATAAATGTAGTTTAGTCTTATAAGTTAATTATGTTACCACCAAAAGTGGTGACACAATGTTTCATTTGTCCAACTTTTTTTGTATTTGGCATTCAGCGGTTGGTGGTTGGCAGTTGGCATTCGGCATCTCTAACAAATGGCGACATTTTGCATGTTAATGCCTTGTCTTAGTTTACCTTTACTGTACCTTGAGTGGGTCTTTAAGAGTCTTATGAGTTGACTTCTGATATATTGCCCATTATCTCCATCATTCATGATATCTTCTTAGGCGACAAATCTGCTGCTTTAACTAAAGATGGAGCCACTGGCACTAAAGCTGCTGTTTGCCATAAGTTGCTAGTGCCACCTGGTGGTGAAAGTACTGTAAGGTTCATCATCTCAGCAGGAGACACAACTGGTAACCATGGCAATGTGTTTGGAAGACAGTTTGAGAAAGGATTTGAAACTGAATCCCAGAAAACTGATGCATTTTACCAAAAGGTAATATATTTGACAATGTTTATGTGAATTTAAAAGAATATTCATACTAATCAATTAATATCATTGGATTCATTTCCATCCTCAGGTCACATGACTCCAAGATCAATCCAATTTCCATCCTCAGGTCACATGACTCCAAGATCAATCCAATTTCCATCCTCAGGTCACATGACTCCAAGATCCAGAATATCTTATTTCTTTTCCATTCTGGAGCGCTATGTTTCGGAGGGTGTCTTATTTCATTTTCATTGTATGTTAAAGGTATTACCTCCCACACTATCCAGTGAGCAGAGAAAGGTCTCAAGACAAGCTTATGCTGGTCTGCTCTGGACTAAGATGTTCTATCACTTTGATGTCAGAAAATGGATAAATGGTAAAAAGTTTTATATGATAGTTGAAAGTTGAAATAGAAATGTTTATTGCATTACTACTGACAGGTATCATGTGTAAACCTTAAAAACCTTTAGGGTCACACTCTCAATAACAGCAACGACATGATAGCACTAAAAACAACAATAATATAAATAATGACAACATTATTGAGACTGAGAATACCAAGGAAAACCCAAATTGTGATATTAACACCAATGACAGATCATTAATGACCCTCACACCCCATAGTGTCATTTTTAGTGGGTATTTGTAAATTAAACATTTTGAAGAAATGGCAGAATCTGATGTGAAAAAGTCAAATAGATATTCATGCCCCTCCCAAAGCTCTACATGTTATTTGCTGTAGAAGGCTATGTGAAATATTTAGAAGTCATGTTTATTTTAGAACATATTTCATTTTCAGGGGATGATGTCGCAGTTGAACTTCCCGAAAGCAGGAAGACTGGAACCAATCACGAGTGGAAGCATTTGTACAATTGTGATGTCATATCTATGCCCGATAAATGGGAATTCCCTTGGGTATGTAAATAATGTAAATGCTGTTGGACTTAAAGTCCTTGGAAACAATCACAGGGAAGACAAGGCATTAAAATGCAAAATATCACTACCTGCCATTTGTTACAGACAACAAATGCCAACCACTGAGCACCAATCGCCAAAAGCTGAACACTTTCCCCCAAAAATAGAGATATAGATGTTTTTGACAAATTACACAATTCAAAGACTATAATATACATGTATTACTGGATCATGAATACTGTTGTAGTTTGGGACAAAATTCAGAGTAATTAATATGCATGTACATGTATCTTGAATGTTGTTTTTGTAGTATGTAGTTTGGGACAAAATTCAGAGTAATTAATATGCATGTACATGTATCTTGAATGTTGTTTTTGTAGTATGTAGTTTGGGACAAAATTCAGAGTAATTAATATGCATGTACATGTATCTTGAATGTTGTTTTTGTAGTATGTAGTTTGGGACAAAATTCAGAGTAATAATATGCATGTACATGTATCTTGAATGTTGTTTTTGTAGTATGTAGTTTGGGACAAAATTCAGAGTAATTAATATGCATGTACATGTATCTTGAATGTTGTTTTTGTAGTATGCAGTTTGGGACTTGGCCTTCCACATGATTCCATTCTCAGACATTGATAGGGAATTCACCAAGAAACAACTTTTACTCTTTCTGAATGAGGGCTATATGCATCCTAATGGGCAGGTGAGAAAATGGAAATTACTATGCTAATCGGAAATTCAGTCATCCAAGCAAATCAAGTCAAAGAGAGCACTGTAGATTCACAGACATTAGTATAATGCAATAATTGATGTATTTGTTGAAAAACATGTGGCTACCCTGATGAAAGCAATGGCTTTGAATTCCTACATAATCCTATGTTTTATGTATTATAATTGATTTCATATTAAGAATTAAATAAAAACAGGATGAAGGGGGATTAAGATTAACATACAAATTAAATCCGGATGATGTCCAATAACCATCAATTATGGAAAAACAAAATCATCATTATAACACCCCCAAACAAAATTTACTTCATTTTTCCACAACTGCTGGTAATTGGACACCAATCCTAAGTCTTCTTGGATATTTTGCTAACTATTCTAATTTCTCTCATTCCTACCAGTTGCCGGCCTATGAGAATAACTTCAGTGATGTCAACCCTCCTGTGCATGCCTGGGCTTGCCTGAACGTGTACAGAGATGGCCAGAAAGAGGGCAGCACTGATGTTGTCTTCTTGAAGAGGTGCTTCAATAAACTTCTGCTCAATTTTGCTTGGTAAGAATTTCAGTCATTTTCTAACTTTTTGTGTTTCTAACTTTGGAGGCTAGATATAACACCTGTCACTGCCTTTAATTTTGAAAATGAATATTGAACTAATACTTGAAGTTGTCCAAATTATGAAGGCGCTTCAGAAAAATATAAAGGGTACTTTGTATGATAATCATGTTAAATTGTCTTTTACTCAAGGTTTATTTCATTAATACATGTACTTTATATTCAGGTTCTATTGCATACATAATTATGTTATGCATTTAATATTCAAGTTACGTTGCATTTACATTCAGGTTATATTGCATTTATATTGAGGCTACATTGCATTCCTATTAAGGTTATATTGCACTTATATTCAGGCAACATTGCATTCTTATTCAGGTTATATTGCATATATATTTATATTTATATTGCATTTATATTTAGGTTACATTGCATATATATTTGTATTGCATTTATATTCAGGTAAGTGAACAAGAAAGACCCAACAGGAAAACATTTGTTCTCAGGGGGATTCCTAGGCATGGACAATGTGGCAGCCTTTGATATGTTATATTGCATTTATATTAAGGTTATATTGCATATATATTTATATTGCATTTATATTTAGGTGGGTGAACAAGAAAGACCCAACAGGCAAACATTTGTTCTCAGGGGGATTCCTAGGCATGGACAATGTGGCAGCTTTTGATAGATCTGACCCTCCATTTCATGAAGGAAACCTATTCCAGGTATACATATTATACATACAGGTGTACATATTATATTGCCATCTGACAACTGTTGACCTTTTCAGAGTTGGACTGGATAAATTGTTTACTTCCACCCTGGTGTTTAATTCATTAAGGCTTACTGAACTGTGAAATTTCACTGATTTTTTGTAAAATGATAAAAGCTTTCATTTCAGTACTAAATACCATATGAAATTTTTGGGAATCATAACAGAATTCTTTGGTATAACTTATTATAAAGGTAGTAAATAGGGCAGACTGCAGCATAGAATGAAATATTGAATATAAAAAAGACTGTCCAACAAATATAAGGGAAAAAATTGGATTATGAATTATTTATTACTACCTGTGTTGTACTCCCTTACCCCCCCCCACCCACACCTTATAAGGCAACATGTCAAAAACATTTCATGTGGTCTCTCTTTCAGGCTGATGGCACAGGTTGGATGGCATTCTTTGCCCTGACATTGTTTGAGATGTCAGTAGAGTTGAGTCATCATGACGTGGCATACATTGACCAAGCTGTCAAGTTTTATGAACATTATCTCTGTATTGTGAAGGCCATCAATGGGACGGAGGATCACCAAGGTAATATTATGCATATGTATGAGTATTAATTGTTAAACCTTTAGTTTGTAAGTTGCAGGCCCGTAGCCAGAATTTTTCAAGGGGGGTTCACTTTTCCCGAAAATTCTAGGGGGGGTTCACTTTGGCATATTTGGCCAAGGGGGTTCGCCCGAACCCCCGAACCACCCCCCCCTGGCTAGGGCCTGAGTTGTATTACCTTTTAGGTGGGGTCTATTAATTGAAGGTACATTTAGATAGATGCCTGAGTGCTAGTGCTAAAATTCTGAAACTTAAAAAGCTATAGTATTTATTTAAGTATCAGATTAAAGGCAGAATCTGATCTATAGGGGGTGACAAAATTACAAATTTAAAAAGGCTATAGTATTTATTTAAGTATCAGATTACATTTGTTTAAGAATCCCATGCTTGGTGTAATTAACGGCATCATTAGTATAGTGTTCACATTTACTTAAATGCTTGAATTTTATACACCACCAATATTATTATGTAATAAAATTAGATAAAATAGGTCAGCATTTCCTTGTACCAAACACAATTTACATAATGCCATTGCTCTTCACATACTTCCTTTTATTACATACAGTAAAACCTGTCTCATCTGAATGTCAAACCTAAAGTGTTCATAATGGCAGGTGATCACATTTTGAGATTTTGTAACATAATGTCCATGGCAGATTTAAGTTGTGGGCCAAGAAAGTGTTCACATCAAAGGATGTTCAGATTAGAGAGGTATTTAGATATACAGGTTTTACTGCAATTATTCCCCACTTTTGATTTTCTCTATTATTTAAGAAATGTAGTAAGGAAAGTGCTGCAGCAGTGGAGCTCCATGCATTGTCTTTGACCCATGTATCTCAGACAGTTTTTATGTCACCACCAGAAATGGTGACATATTATTGTCATAGTCTCCAATGTTTTTGTGTATGGTGGCAGGGGCGTAGCCAGCTTTCAGTCAGGGGGGGTGCGATCGCCGAAAAAATGTCAGTTTTCGGTCAGGGGGGGTGCGATTTTGGCATAAGCAACACAAAAAATTAAGATTTCTTTTGAATTTTACAAAAATTTATGCAACTTCCTTCAAAATTGAGCTAGAAGCTTCAAATAAAAAGCATTTTAAAGCTCTGTTCTTCCTCTATCCAATGGTCACATTTTCAAAGGTTATGGGGGGTGCGATCGCACCCATCGCACCCCCCCCCCCCCTGGCTACGCCCATGGATGGTTGGTAGTTGTGTTCAGCATCTGTAACAAATGGTAGGTGGTGACATTTTGCATGTTAATGCCTTGTTTGATTTGTACTTACTTGTATTTGAATTTTAGTGCCCTTCAAACCCTCAGAATGCAAGTTGGGTGAACTAAATTGGGTCACTCATCCAGGTAACTCACCTAATTTGCATAATTTATGCGCATATTTGAGTATATTTGATGATTAGAATAAGTTGCACCAGAGCACAGATCATCTGTCAAATAAACATAACATATCTTCCTTTTAATCTTGCTACATAGTTAATTCTAGCTACACTATAAAAACGCTTTGATAAGTTATTACCTAAAGTTTCTCATATGTAATTAGGGATTTAGATGTTTTGAATTCTGATGATTTTATGCTGTATTATATGAAGAGGATGTACCTTATTTGTAGTATCTCATAATACTTATCTTTTAGGTCTTTGGTGTCCAGATCATAAGTTCTACTATGATTGCTTCCAAATTGAAGATGAGTTCAAACGCCTTCATACCCGTTCCCTATCTGGTATAGTGCCTTTGTTTGCAACCTTGACTTTTGATATGTCAAAGGTCGGTGATTTACCCGAGTTAACAAAGCGTCTTGATGCATTGCTTGAGAGACGAGTGGATTTAAAAGAAAAGGTAAATTAAGAAAATGGACAAAAATTTATTAAATTGTCACAATACAATGAGTTTTACAAAGCATCAATTTACTTATAAGACTAGTTTTGCAGTAGTTGAATCAGTAAATAAAAATTGTGATTTTGAAATACCTGATTAATTTTGTTGCAGGTCTCACAAAGAGACTCCGTTCAATTTCTGTCAATTCCTCGGAAAGACAAACTAGAAAGCATACTTTCCTACCTCTTAGATGAAGATGAATTTTTGTCTCCATATGGAATACGATCTTTGTCAAAGGTATGTTACTCCTTGTAATGATTCAACTATATCATCTTAAAGGGGCAGTAAAGGATATTTTGCTCAAAGTGTTTCTTACGATGCTAACAGGGGGAATGATACCAATGGTATTGTCTCAAGGTAATTATTTGAGGTGATTGTTATTTATGAGTAGATTTGATTTGAGAAAATCGTACTGTGCCTCTTTAACCCCTTGAATACCCAGAATGGCAGATATTTCTGTTCCCAATAAAATTCCATGGAAGCTCTGAGTGACGGATATATCTGTCACAGGATTTTAAACTGTATTTAGATGGTAGATGTCCAAAAACTGGCAAAAATGAAAAATGCTCTGGTTTTAAACCATTTTTAGAGGCTAGTATTCAAGAGGCTAATCTGTATTTATTCCCGTCTATTTAACCTAAATATTTTTGTTTTCTTTTAGGTACATAAGGAGAACCCTTACAGCATTATCTTCAATGTTCAGGTCAGTACTTTCATGTTTCAACAATTTGGCTTATGTAATCAAGATCTCAGCAAATATTATTGTAGTGTTCAGCAAATGTCATTGTAGTGTTCTGTTTATAAAGTATTCTCAAATCCTGCAGTTGAATTATTGTTAAATCTTCAGTTTTCAGGATGAGAAACAAATTGATGAAATTTTGCACAGTTGCTGAACTTTAAGAATCAATTTTATCAAATACTGCACTTAGTATTGTTTAAAGTATTATTTGTAGAAATTTTGGGGTGAGGTAACAAGTTTTGACCTCCTGATATTAAAGCAACCATGTGCCTGAATGCAGTTGAAAATTCATGCCACTTTGTTGAAATTCTGTTGGTGAATTCCATGTATTTTTACAAGACTGAAAAAACATATTGATAAATGCTGTTATGTATTTAGGTACATAGTGGTGGTCCAATATTCCATATGGATATGGAAGAGAAAGAATACAGTGTGTCATATGCTCCAGGGGAATCTAATACTGATATGTTTGTATTTAGGTACATAGTGGTGGTCCAATATTCCACATGGATATGGAGGAGAAAGAATACAGTGTGTCATATGCTCCAGGGGAATCTAATACTGATATGTTTGTATTTAGGTACATAGTGGTGGTCCAATATTCCACATGGATATGGGGGAGAAAGAATACAGTGTGTCATATGCTCCAGGGGAATCTAATACTGATATGTTTGTATTTAGGTACATAGTGGTGGTCCAATATTCCACATGGATATGGGGGAGAAAGAATACAGTGTGTCATATGCTCCAGGGGAATCTAATACTGATATGTTTGTATTTAGGTACATAGTGGTGGTCCAATATTCCACATGGATATGGGGGAGAAAGAATACAGTGTGTCATATGCTCCAGGGGAATCTAATACTGATATGTTTGGAGGAAACAGTAACTGGAGGGGACCAGTCTGGATATGTAGTAAGTGTAAAATACAATTTTAATTACAACATCATCAAATGTAAAATTAAAAAACAAGATAATTGTAAAATACAGATACTACTTGATATATTGATATGTTTCCTTCCCAATGTTGAATATGTGGTAGTTTTGATAAATGTAGCAATTGAAGGATGAACATCATGATTATCACATTCTTACAATTTTACTTTTAGTGAACTACCTCATAATTGAGTCTCTTGAGAAGTTTGATAGTTTCTATGGTGATGACCTGAAAGTAGCATTTCCTACCCGCTCAAAACAAAAGCTGAGATTGCGAGATGTCGCTAAAGAATTATGTCGGCGAATTAGCAAAATATTTCTACCTAATGCCAAAGGAGCTAGACCATGTCACGGTGAGAAATACAATTGTGTGTTCTTGTATTTCTATATTGATAGGTTCTCTTCTAGTTTAGAATTAGCAAACAGATGTCAGGCAGGCTACATAAATACATATTATGTTCAATAGTACAATTTTCACAAAACTTAAACATAATAGTAAATGATATGATATCACATACTTAAAATTTTCATTATTATAGAACATTTAACTTTATTCAGTGATCATAAGCACAGGTTTGTTTTTAGGAAATAATGACAAATATGCTGCTGACCCCTATTGGCGAGATCTGGTGCTATTCAATGAATATTTCCATGGGGACTCGGGGCAGGGGCTTGGAGCCAGGTATGAGCAGCTGAACCTCTTTAAGACATAGTTTTGAGTTGACTTAATTTATAGACTATTAGTTGACCATAAGGGTTGAGTTGACCAAAGGTTGATCTGACCTAAGGTTGAGTTGACCAAAGGTTTAGCTGACCAGGGAACAATTTTGTTTCAATACTTTGATTTACATGCTCATCTTACAATCCTCTAATGAAAAGTCTCAAGTTTACTAAGGATGCAGTTGACTAAGGTTTACATTATTATGTCACAACCCAAAGTGGTTACATACATGTATTGTTATAGTCTCCAACATTTTGTGGATGGTGTTCGGCGTTGGCGTCTGTAACAAATGGCTGGTGGTGACTTTTGCATGTTAATGCCTTGTTAAAAGGTTGAGTTGACCAAAGGTTAAAGTTACCAATTGTCCTGTTTTCCAGTCACCAGACAGGTTGGACAGCCCTAATTACAAAGATCCTGGAGAAAGCAGGCCCAGTATAATGCTAGACAATTTTACCAATATTAAGGACATAGTGGAGGGGATGGTAATGGAATCTGGATGTTTGAGCCAAATTATATACTCGTTCAAGAGACTTGAAACTGAATGTACCATTATGCAAAACCTGTTCCAAATTACCATTTCTGGACATAATGACTCCTTTATTTGAAAGAATTGATGATATTGCATATTGTACATTGAAGTTTCATTATGGGATCGTATGTTCAGCACTAATGTATGATTAGTGATCTATATTATTAAGATGTTAATTATTATACATTGCACATCTCAGAAGAGCCAGTATGATGAGCCACAGACCCGTATCTGTGTTTCCATGAGGGTACAATGACAAGTTACACTGTAATTCTGCATATGCAATGATATAAAATAATTAAATTGAAATTGTAATGATATGGGAGAGGCAAATAACACTGTAACATGATGGAGGAGGAATGACAAGTTGCAATGTTATGCTGCATTCACAGGCCCATAGCCAGGGGAGAGCTGGGGAACAGGCTAAAAAAATATTTTAAAATCAAGCAGTTTTTCACCATTCTGAGCACTTTTTGCATGACTTTTTAGTCAAAACTATCAAAAAGCTTCCCCCCTTGGCAAAAGTTGGCTATGGGCAAGCGTATCAATAAAATTTAAAGTTAAGGATTTCTATGCTGAACTCACATAATCAGCCAAAGGTGCTAATAGTCAACCATACTGAAGAGAAAATTTTAGTTTCTATGTAGTTTCTGAGAGATTTGTATGCAAACTAGTCTTGCCCAACTCGGTGTCTTTTTATTTTTTATTTAATATCTTCAAGATCAGATAAATACAGAATATCACATCATTTTGAGTGAAATCAATTTTATCACCGAGTTGATATCAAATATCAACACGAGTGAGCGAAGATATTGGGTTTATCCCATAATTACAATTTTTTTTTTTATAATCTGTTTTATTTCATTATATACAAGTACAAATAGTTTCTGATATAAGTGACCAATCGCTATGGAAGGATAGCATTATAGGTTCACACATAATTACAATCACCTTGTGATGTTCTGATCCAATTTCCAGGACACTGGCAGACCCTATTTTCTTAAAAGAGAATAAATTATCTGACCTAATTTCCAACAATATTGTGGCGCGAATTGCAAATGTGATATCACACGGATATGCGTGAGATAATCGATATCACACGCATATGAGTTTGATAAACGATTTTCTGGAAAATCACACGGATTTCAATAATATCAGAAATATCAATAGCTGTTATTGTACAGATAACACATTAATCGTGGGATAAATAAAAAATATCGACTTGGGCAAGGCTATATACACACTTTTAACTAATAAATTACACTGATTGTCGAGCCTTGTACATGTAATAATTATCGAGGTATTACAAATTAAATATAATATCTCATTCTTTAAGTCATTTATTTATAGATTTTTAAATATAATTTGTATAAGATCATAAATTCATTTAAACTTACATTTATATATTAAAAAAAACTGTATATTATAAATACAATTTGAATGTGAGCAATTAATTAATAAAAAAGTTCTAATAAATAAGTGATGAATAAGCATAATGAAAATAAGTTATAGGTTATTACTTACTAACTATTAATTAAATTCAGTATAAGTATGAGTATAGCTGTTATAGTATAGAATGAGGTGTCTGTGTTGAAATATGCTACCATGTGCTCATTTGTAATCAATTATTTAATGTTTTTATATCTGCTATGAATACATTTATATGTTATAACCATGATAACTGGAATAATTTAGTTTGTGCAATGGGGGGATTTATAATGATTCATACATATACATACATTGTATCTAAATAATATGAACATATAAGTTCATAAACATTACTCTACCCTCATCAAACCGGTGTCAATGGGGAATTTAATAATGATTCATACATGCACATGCATTACCTACTGTATTGCATCAACCATGAGATTTCTATTACTATTATTAAGTATGTCTATTAACATGTTGTTCATTTAAAAACTGATCCTTGCGGGGTGGGGTCCCTCGAGAAATGTTCAATTTAACTTTTTTTTACCATTACAGACCATGATCTTCTAAGGTATTTCATGCCCACAGATAGATCATCATACACTATGGCCAATCATGGTATTTGCATCTTATGGTGGATTTAAACAATTGATTCTACCTTCTTGCAATTAAATAATATGGTTACAGTATATTTATGGTAAACTTTGACCACGGAAAAAACAATGGCCTCGAAGTGCCATGCTACATTAACATAAAGCTGTTTGACTATACAAATATAAGACTGAGAGGAACAAAACATGTTTAATTTGAGGCACTGTTATGTAATGGTAAATTGCAAATTTTCAGGGTATTAGCATATAGTTTACTATTATTTTGCTAGCTTGATAAACAAGATAGCTCAAATTGATTTAAGAAAACGTAAGAGAGAGTTTTTTAAATATCTTCTCACTCACCCCCCTCCCTTTCATTGTCTCTTGTTAAATGTCATGTTTTTTAGCTGAATTAGCAAAAAATGCTTTCTCCAATCACAATGCCCTATACTAAATTCACTGGGCATGTTTTGTCCAGTTTATGATTCCGGCCGTAATGATGAGATGTACTTTACTTATGAATTGAATTGTGAACAAGAACATACAGATTTTCATCCTGACTGGGGCAAAAATTCATTCGTGAACATATAATGCCCGTTAATCACTGTAAACTATCTTTGGAGAATCTTTGTTAGTTTTGAATAAGATTGCCAGGGTTGATTGTACATGGTTTTGGTTGGCTGATGATTTAAAAGCTATGAGAAAGTTTGTTTACACAATACTAAAAAAGCTGTTAATCAAGGCTATGGAGATAAGTGAAGTACCCTTGGACCAAGGATGCATTCTGCTATTGGTTTAACAATTGTTGATCAAATCCTGCATTTTAACACTTTAACAGCCGTAGATGTCAAACACTACAGTTCGTCTTATTACTCCATGGACCTCAATCATCGTCAAGGAGAGATATAGGTCCATGGTACCCACGGATTAGTACTTATAGGATATCCTACGATTTTGAGGAATATCATTTTTATCTACGAGGTGATATTGATATCTGCACGAGAGAGCAAAGCGAACGAGTGCATATATCAATATCACCGAGTAGATTAAAATGATATTCTGAAAAAAATCATAGGATGTTCTTATTTTCCTACACTTACAAGGAGTCAACTAAATGTATAATATCATTGCAAAATGAATTTCATGTCAAATAGAGTTAATTTGGCGGAAAATCAACAAGCGGAGTATATCGTCACAATATCCTCCGCATATTCATACCTGCCAACCTACCGTATTTTTACGGGAATCTACCGTAAAATTTTTGTTTTTCCGTAAAAAAATGACAAACTACCGTTAAAAAACTACCATTTTGTCCCCTAAAAACGAGCGTAAAAAATCTACCGTAATTTCACCGAAATCTACTGTAAAATATTTTATAATTCGATTTTTTCTATAAGAACGGCCGTAAAATATACCGGAAATATTTGGAAATCTACCGTATTTCTGCTGAAATTAACAGTATTCTTGTTCAAACTACCGTAAAATCTACCGATATTATTTGGAAATTCTGAAAAATTGAAATCTTTCCGTATTGCCTTTGTAATATTCCATTACCAACTCGAAAATAAATAGGTGTCGGCAGGTCTGCGACAGTGGTTATTGCCTATGAGTAAATAAGTAAGCTGGCGTGTGTGTAATCATTCAACACACTGGGGGGTATCGTGATGCAAAAACACAGTGTTCAACTACCACAGGTTCTACTGTAGTTATAAAAACACTGAAATGTTCAAATTGTTAGTCTGTTTATGAAAGAGTTCCATGCATGCTGTGTTGTAAAAATATACTTTATTATTTAATCATTGAAGTGTGTCAAAATCTACCGCACAAACTACTGCATTTTTTCAAAGTCTTCCACAAAAACTACCGCTATTTTTTTAAAGCTACCGTAAAACTACCGCATTTTTCAAAACCTTCCGCAAAACTACATTTTTTCAAAAATCTACCACAAAAACTACCGCATTATTTCAAAATCTACCGTAAAACTACCGCATTTTTCAAAATCTTCCGCAAAACTACAGTTTTTTCAAAAATCTACCGCAAAAACTACCGTATTCTTTCAAATTCTACTGGAAAACTACCGCATTTTACAAAATTTTCCGCAAAACTACAGTTTTTCAAAAATCTACCGCAAAACTACCGTATTTTTTTCAAAATCTACCGTTAAATTAGCGCCTTTTTCAAAAACTTCCGAAAGAGTACCGTTTTTCAAAAATCTACCGCAAAAACTACCGAATTTTTTCAAAACCTACCGTAAAACTACCGCATTTTTGTCGAAAAATATCGCCAAAACAACCGCATTTTTTCAAAATCTTCCCCAAAAACTCCTGCAAAACTAGTTTTTTCGAAAATCTACCACAAAACCTACCGCATTTTTTCAAAAATCTACCACAAAAACTACCGCATTTTTTCAAAATCTACCGTAAAACTACCGCATTTTTCAAAATCTTCCGCAAAACTACCGTTTTTTCAAAAATCTACCGCTAAAACTACCATATTCTTTCAAAATCTACTGGAAATCTACCGCATTTTACAAAATCTTCCGCAAAACTACAGTTTCCAGCCAAACTGCAAAACTGCCGCAATTTTTCAAAATCCACCGTTAAATTAGCGCATTTTTCAAAAACTTCCGAAAAAGTACCGTTTTTTCAAAAATCTTCTGCAAAAACTACCGAATGTTTTCAAAACCCACCGTAAAACTACTGCATTTTTGTCGAAAAATACCGCCAAAACGACCGCAGTTTTTCGAAATCTTCTGCAAAAACTCCCGCATTTTTTAAAATCTACCGTAAAACTACCGCATTTTTCAGAATCTTCCGCAAAACTACAGTTTTTTTCAAGAATGTTCTACAAAAACTACCGCATTTTTTCAATCTCTACCGTAAAACTACCGGATTTTTCAAAATATTCCGCAAAACTACCGTTTTCTTCAAAATTCTACACCAAATACTACCGTATTTTTTCAAAATCTACTGGAAATCTACCGCATTTTACAAAATTATCCGCAAAAACACAGTTTTTCAAAAATCTATCGCATTTTTCAAAATC